GATCCTCCTGCCTCAGCCTCCCCAGTGTTGAGATTACAGGCATGAGCCACCACACCCCTGCTTCCTTAATTACTGCCCCCCCCTCCTGGCGGGGTTTATATTTGATTCTTTCAGCACTTAATTTAGTTTAATTATACATGTATTTTTTACTCCTTTATTAGATTTGACGTTCAGGAAAATGTTTGCTTCACCTTTAGAGCCCGTACTGTGTGGGCTTTTTATTCAGTAAACATCAGTGGGTGAATGGTGTGATTTGCAAATAGGTTCTTTTTATTAAAAATAATTGACTACTTTCCCATAAAATTCATGCAAGTGGCATATCTGATTTCCCAGTTACTAGAATCGAGTTCGCTTGTTTTTTGATGTTTTTAACTTCAGTGTGTGCTTTTATATGCTGGAAATTTTCCTTTGGTTATTTTATTATACTGTCCTATGGTGGCAGAAATGCTGAAGTCTTTAGCCTGACAAAAACCATATTGATTTTTTCTTCTTTTTTAGCACATCCTATTTTCATGCTATTATTTCATTTTCTCCCACAAATTTCATTCAGATATCATCTTTCCCCATTTGTGTGAACCTCCACTCTAATATTACCATTTTGCTGTATTTTCGGTATCTTTACTTGGCTAATAGGTATATTACCTTTGCTTTGCCTTTTTTTTAATTTTTTATTTTATTTTTTTGGTAGGATGTCAGTTCTCTTCTTGTCCAAGCTTGCCGACTGGTACCTCCTAATCAGAATCATCTTGTGAGCAAAGTGTCTAAGCTGATCCACCATTTACTTAACAGACTACAGGTAATATATATAATTTTAGGATTCAGATTATGAACTTGGAGAATAAGTACATGCCTTTGAAATACATCTGTGGTAGGTATCACAGGCAGTCTTTTGAGATACTAGGAAAAGCCAACACCTTAACTAAAATGATATTAAATCTGACATTATTCTGCAGAATTCTAGAAATTTGCCTATTAGAAGTGTTTCTTTCTGTTTGAGTCAATAAATTAATGTCCTTCAGTTCTCTAGTCCTGGACTTTTTTCATTAAAGGTATAGTTGACCCAGATATATCTCAATAGATTGAAATGATCCCCTACTTCTTTCCTACTAATATTTTTCCCCTTTTCGAAGCTGTCATTTTTGTCATCTACTTCTGATATGCAAAGTCTAAGAGGAAGCCTGAGGGCAAGGGGACACCAGAATAAAAAGTCCCCAGTTATTTAAATAAAGGTCTGTACTGCAGCTCCCTTTGGAAGGTTTTCCAACTTGCTAAATAAATCCATTCTCTATAGGATTAAGACTGTTACCCTAGAATGTAAAGAGCAGAAAATATATCAATTAGTATTTTGTCAAGAGGATGCTTTGGGCTATAAGAAACAGAAAATCCAACCCAGCATACCTAAACAATAAAAAAAAGAAAAAAGGGCATCATGCCAGGTCACAAGTCCCAAGAGACGCAGCTCCAGCGTCCCTTTAGAATAACAGGCTTACTGGTATCTTTCCATTCTGCCATCCTCGGTGTGGAGGCTGTCCTCAGCTAGCCTCTCACACAGTCATAACATGACTGGCTAATTCTAGGCATCCATGCAAAATGACGAACATTCAGTACAAGCCAAAGAACTAGTTGATTTTGTCTCATATTTAAGAATGAGCAAATTTGACCCATAAGTTCTGTAGCAAGTTCTCCTGATAGCTCATTGGAGTGCTAAATCATACAAAATTCTCTCTAAACCAGTCTCTGAACAGGTAAATGATCTTATCGTGAGTGACTTAAAACAGTGGTTCGGTTTCAGTGTTGGGAGTTGAACCCATGGCCTCAGGCATGCTAAGCAGCCTATCACTGAGCTACCCCCCAACCCCTTTAAAACCAGTGATTTCAAGCTTGACTGCCCATTAAAATCACCTGGAGGGCCTGCACTTCCTGAAAGATTGCAATGTACAGCCAAAATGGGCTTACTGCAGGGTTTGTTACCCTCTGTACTTGTGATATTTTAGATTGGGTATTTCTTTGTTCGTTGTAATGTCCTGTGCATTATAATATGTCTAGCAGTGTCTTTGGTATCTGTCCACTAGATGCTAGTAGTTCCCTTCCAGTTGCAACAATCAAAAATGCCTATGGCAATTGTCAAATGTTCCTTGGGGAGGGTCAAGATTGCCCCTGGTTGAAAACCACTGTGAGTAATTAGGATTTTCCTGTGGGTCCCATGTAGGCGGGTATCCAGATGAAATTAGAACTCTACTGTCAGAGAAGATGGGTGCTGACATTTAACCAGTAGTGTCTGCTACATGAGATAAAGTTATGTTCAACTTTAGAATGTTTTGAACTGATGTTAGTTTCTGAATGTCTGCTATTCTCAGGTGTGTCATCTTTGTAACACTGGCACTGGGAAAACCTTCTGATCATCTACAGCACCTACAACCATAGGCAACTTGCTAACATTTGATGATAATTTTCTCAAATGTCCATAAATTGATATTTAGATTAGCCTAACTTATTCCATAACAATTGTGAATTCCATTGGGACAGGGATATACCATCTCTTCTTGTATTCCTACCACCAGGCTAGAGACACCGTAGTTGCCAGGTGTGGTGGTGCATGCCTGTAATCCCAGCACTCAGGAGGCTGAGGCAGGAGGATCTTTTTGAGTTCGAGACCAGCTTGGGCTACAAAGTGAGCTCAAGGCCAGCCTGAACTGCATAGCGAGACCCTGTCTCAAAAAGACAAAAAACAACAACCACAACGAAAAAAATACAGACACCATAGCTATTATTAAGCAAATATGTTTATTTACTATGTATTTTTTGAGTGATTACTCTGTATAAGACAGTTTAATTGAATTAAGATATTTTATTTCAGTGGATTGAGTCTTGTATCAGTGTATTTACAGCTGCCAGTGTCTGTTTAGTTCAAGGAAAAGTTAGTCAAGGACTTTACCAGGTTCTACTTAGTAGAGGAGCTAAAGGGACTAAAATGACTGAGACCAAAGACAGGGAGAAGTCCTTCATCTTGATCAAATTGTCAAACCTTTAGCACTGATCTTTTTTGACACACACGGGAAAAGGTGGATATATATTCTCACACAGCTTGATCCAGGGGAGCATAAATGTGTGTAAAAGGATGAAAAATTTTTTTAAAAGTTAGAGCATCTGTATTTTTCTTCTATCCATAGGTGATTGTTGATGAACAGAACTTGGATTTCTTGTTGGCATACACTATTTCAGCTGTTCGGCAGTGTAGTTCGTGGACACACATGGAAATTCTTCAAGCCTTAGCAGCTCTGGTTTACTACAATGGCTCAAAATGTCAAAAGGTAGCTTAAACCACCCTCTGCCTTACCTTTGAGATGTAAGCACATCTTGAAGAGTCAAGCACAGTCTTGAAGAGTCAAGACACCTATGTTCAGGAATCTTTCTTGCTACTAATTAGATGTGTAACTTTGAGCTGTCCTCAGAATTCGTCAGAGGCATGTTTCCTTATGTGTAAAATAGGTGCTCTGAGCACATAGTGGGACGGTACTTGTAAAGGGCTTGGTACTCCATGACTAATATTTTTGTTGGTATTGTTCATTTGTGCAGCCAAAACTAAAGAGCTTCAGCAGCTACCCAGTAATGATCCGCATTCCTACTTTTTGGCACATCTTTGCATACTCATCCGGGAGATTTACCTAACAGCTAGTCCTAGAAGCTTTTCTTAGACCACCATTGACTGTTGTTTTGTTTTAGTATCTCCCAGACTTGCTGGGTAAGACTGGCCTCTTGCTGAAGATGAGTGACTTGGCTCAATCTGACCCTGAAGTCAGGAGAGCTGCAGTGCATTGTATGGCAAACTTATGTCTCAGGTATGTGGGTCCAGTCGGGTTGTCCAGGTGTAATAAGATAAAACCTCTCCCGGGCCCATTGTAGATTGTTCCATCTATCTGAAGCCAGAGCTAACTTAGAAACTAATAACCCATGTCCTAGTTCTCATGTCGTTTAATGAAGTTATCTTATATTGTTTGTTTTCAAGAAAGCTTATAAAGGAATAGACAAAAAAAAAAATATGCTAAAAGTATATGTGCACCGTATGTCAAGTTTTTGTTTTCCATTGGTATAAATTCTAGCCATATTAAATGTATTTATATGAATTTAAGCTCTGGTGTGGTTTATGTCAAGGCCACTTTCTTCTCTTTTAAGAGAGTGGAACCAGCCTGTTATATGTAATAGTTTGTGAGCACCACAAACCTGGACACCACAAACCTCTGTCCTTACATGGCTTAGTGTCATCAGTAGCTGAGAAGGCAGGTTGAATTGTGCAATACTAACTCGGCAGGACCTGTTTGTTCTAACTCCATTAGTTTGTATTACTACTGTGTTTACTTATTCTTTTGCAAGTGCCAGTTGAAAAGAGACTTTTGAGTTATTTTCTCTGTTTGTGTTCTAGTGTGCCAGGACAGCCATACTTGGAGGAGCCCTACCAAAATATTTGCTTCAAAGCTTTCTTGACCATTTTACAGTCTTCAAAATCGTCTGATATGGACGATATAGTATTTTGTATGGTAGGTAGGACTATCACTGATCTTATGACTGTTGTGTGTCTTGAAGCAGGAGTAGAACAAAAGTTTATTATCAAAGAGTTTAATTTTGCTGCTGTGTTTGTTTAAAGATATTTACTCATACAGAGAATGTTATAAGCCAAAAGACTGAATTCTTAGGTTTAAATTCTAAGAAATTGTTTTTCTTTGTTTTATTTTACTTTGGGATTGTTTTACCATTCTAGATATTAAAAGAAAACTATTTTTTTTCCTCTTGAGTATAAAAGCAATACAGTTTCCTGCTAGTAACTAACTTTGAGATGAACAGGAAGAAAGTGAATATCAGTAATATTAGCACAGTTTTATTTCTTTTTTAAAAAAAAAGTCTGACACATATGTGATAATTTGGTTTGGTTTGGTTTGGTACCAGGAATTGAACTCAGGACCTTGTGCTTGCCAGGCAGGTGCTTGCCACTGGGCTATATCCCCAGCCCGTGACAGTTTATTAATATGGTTTAAATTCAGAGTGGCACATTTCAGACATTACGGATGTAAGATAGTGAAATTGCCATATAGTCCTCTGCTCAGATACAGCCACTGGAGACAATTTGTTCCATGGGCCCTCAGATTTTTTTCTCATATACAAATGGGCATATATTTACCATCTTTAAGTGGAATCATATTTAATACACTTTTCTCCAACTTTCTGGAGTTTTAAATCTTAATGTATCTTGGATATCTTTTTTTTTTTTTTTTTTTTCTTTTCTGGTATCAGGAATCAAACTCACAACCTTGCGCTTGCCAGGCAGGCACTGTGCCACTGAGCTAAATCCCCAGCCCTTGGATATCTTTTTAATACCTGTTAGCGTACCTCATGTTTTCTAACTGCTGTAGCTGGGAGACCTTGTACAAGTTATTTAAATTTTTGGAGCCTCCATGTTCCTCTCAGAAATGGGTACAACTGTATTGTAGTGTTCTTTACTCTATGCGGTAAAGCACTTAAAGTGTTCAGTGAAGCGCTGTTGTTATTATTGGTAGTTTCACATTTAGCAGAGTGTTTCTTACATCATCACTGTGATGATCATTATAATTGTTGAAAATTGGCCGGGCATGGTGGTGCATACCTGTAATCTCAGCACTCATGAAGGCAGGAGGATCGCCACGAGTTCAGAGCCAGCCTGGGTTACATACTGAGTTCAAGACCACCCTGAACTATACAATGAGACCCTGTCTCAAAAAAAAAAAAAAAAAAATTTTTTTTTTTGATGAAAATTGATGTTTTTTTGTTTTTTTGGTTTTTTTTCATATTTCCACAATTTCAGACAAGGCTACAGTTCATATCCTCTTCTATGGGGAGTATTTCTGAAGGACAGAGACCTAAAAATGAGATTATTGAGCCAAAAAATCAATGTTGATCAGAATTGCCCTCTAGAAATTAAGTTTCGGTTGTTTATCATGTGTTCCCACAGCCATGCCTTTGCGATATTACAACTTTCTCATCTCTGATCTCTGCTACCACTTTCGCATTCTCTCTCTCCTCTTTCTCCCCTCTGTCTCTCTGCCTGCTCACCGTTTGTACATACTGGTCTATAAGGAAATACAGTAAGGCCATTCGATACGAGTACTGTCCTTTAGAAAATAACTCAGTGGTTTATCAGTCTGTTCTCTGGATCTTTGTCTCTGCTTTGTGACTGTGTTTCTAAAATATTTTTCATCATCTAGAGATTATTTTCTCTTCTAAGTGGTACAGAAAGTTGATGTCTTAATAACCAAATTTTATTCTGTCTTCTAACTTTTGATTCCTTTTCCCACTAGTTGTTACAGAATGCATTAAAGGGCATACAATCACTTTTAAATGGTGGGAAGATGAAACTGACACAGCCTGATGAACTTGGAGCTCTTCTAGCTGTGCTAAAGGTAAGGCAAGTTATCTTTATGATCAGTCATTTTCCTTTGTAAATTCCAGACATGCGAATCAGTTTACATCACTGCTCTGAGGCTATCTTTAATGTATTAAAAGTTCTTTTTTTTTTTCTTTTTTTTAAAGAAGGCAACAAAATGTTCATATTCAGGGATAGTTAAAAATAGAAAACAACTTTGATTAAATACCTGTATCAAAATTTTAAAATTATAGTATCTTTGACTCTTAGGAGAAAATAGGTTGTAAGACGGGATTTGTTAAGTAATCTAATTATAGATTACCTTGAACCTGCTCTTACCTGTTTATATTTGAAAAAAGAGCCAGGGCTTCTCCTTAGCAAGCTCCTCCCTATAGTAGTCAGCCCATGAAGGTGCTTGTCAGCAGGCTACCATCTCTAGCTTCCAAGCCAGCCAGGCAGTGGAAAAGTCAGGTTTCCTCTCTGGGGACCCAGCCATCTTCAGTTCAGCTAGGAAGGAGGACAGAGCTTTTTACTGGCATCAGGTCAGTGCCATGTCTGACAGTCTAGCTTTATCCTGACTAAAATTTAATTTTTTTGCTATGCCATTCTCTTAATCACTAATAAAATAGAGACAGATGGCTAGATGTGGAGGTAGATAACAAAATGAAAGTGATAAATTAATTTTTAAAATTATAGATAGATAAAATAACTGCATCAAAATGATTAGCTAAGTTAAATAAACAAATACCCTAAAATCAGACCTACTCGGATGTGGCTGAAGCAGATCCAGCTTAAATGAGATGAAGCTCTTTTTTAAGCCCTAAGGCTTCAAGGTATGTATTTTCTGTCCCAAGGTATGTATTTTCTGTCCCATTTCCTTAGTAGTCTTTTAAACCTGCATCTGTTTGTATTCTAATCCATGGTGTGGTAAACAATTGTGACCTAATGTTTTGTATGTGTTCCCTTATCATTACTAGAAAACCATGTTTCATGGACTCCCTGGACTAGATATAGAGATGCCCGCGGTGCTTTACCCAACTCCGCTTCCTCAGTATGATGGGCGACCACCTGTCAAACCACCACAGTCAGAATCCAGTGCTTCTCGCCCAGCTGCGGTACATCTATGTTTGCTTAGATTTAAGTTATGGATTGTTTTGGGTAACTTGCTGTACATGTTTGCTGTAGGGGCATCGTTACAACCGCCAAACCCACCTTGAGGTTGCTGTTAATTTAGGGTACTTAGTGTAGTAAATTTAAATTTACCAAGACTGTTGAAAATACCAGTTAAAGCATCTTGTGATTCCAAGAGATATAACCAGTATAACAGCTACAAAAATGAGCATTTGCTTTATCTCCCAAGCCAAGCATCCTTATCCCCAAAAGGTTAAGACCAAGGATGGACTCACTCCTTCTTTAAAGGGGTGACTGGTAAATACTGTAGGTCTCTGTCATCATAGTACAGAGCAGCCATAGATACACTTCGGAAATGCATGGGCATAGCCATCTTCCAATAAAACTTTATTTACGGAAATGGGCTATGGGCTGGGCTGGATTTGGCCTTAAGGTCATAATTTGCCAGCACCTCTCAAGATTCTTAGAAGCTCACCTATCAGTCAGCTCACTCTGTCCATACTCTTTACAGTCACCAGCTTTCTTAGCCTTTCAGAGAGCTGCCGTCTCCCTCACGCTTTGATTAGAGAATCTGGTACATACAAATGTGTTCACATAAATGTATAAATTTCATATCCAGAAATTTAATACCTGATTAAATATGCTTAAAATTAGAAATTCTTTCACTCATAGCAGAATGATGTGATCAGATTTGCATCTTTGAAAAGCTACAGTGGTAACAAGTACTGTAAAAGAGAATAAGTCTGATCCTTAGTAAATGGACCAAGGTAGAAGAGATGAGAACCTTCATCCTTAAGGCGAGGGACTCTGAGCATACAGATTCCAAAGATACTTGAATATCAGAAGGAAGTAGGAGAAGAAAAACTGGATTTTACTTAAAATCTATTCTGATGTAACCTCAGGGCCCCAGGACATGCACTGTATGTGATGGATTACAGTTCCATGTGCGTGCACCTAGAGTGGTATTGGTATGTATCTTAATTGGGAAACCTGAGAAAATACATACCCAAGGTGTTTTCCATAGGCTTTGATTCTCTTGTGGAATCCTAGTTGAGACAGATGAATGCTTTCACTACATCTGTGCAAGGTAGGAGTATTAGGCTCATAGTTACCCACGAGGAAGGTCAAGCTCAGAGAGGCTACATGATTTGCCCAGACTCACAGAGGTAGAATTTAAACACGGTCCACTTGTTTTGCTGTCCAATAGACTTCGTGTCTTAGCTTTTCCAGGCAAGGATGATGTATGTAAATACTTAGCATTATGCCTGATACAAAGGCTGTTGAGTAAGTGCCACTTTTTTCTTTTTTTCTGTCTTCAAATTATGTATTGGGAACATATTTAGTTACCTTCAAATGAGGTATATAGTACCAATGATTCAGTTAAAAACTATTTTCAAATAGCTATCAATATCTATCATATATATGTCTTCATTTGCTCCTAAAATCAGAATAAAAAGAAAAAATCCAGGGTAAAGCCAAAGAAAATCCAGCAAGGAGAGGAGGAGGAAGAAGAATTCGATGGTGAAGCAGAAGCAGCTGCAGGCACAGGCAGCGTGAACATGAACATGTGTGAAGGAAACACCCGGTGTCTCTCCTCCATGGGTGTCCAGAGTTTACCTAGAAATGAGAGTGGAACTTCTGGAAAAGCCCAAGTCTCTTCTCCCTTCAGGTCTTCCAGTTGGAAAAGAGTTAGCAGTAGTGAATCGGACTATTCTGATGCAGAAGGAAGCATGCAGGGTAAAGTGAGGTAGTAGTATTTTGTTATTTTTATACCTTGTATTTTAAGTTACATGTAAGTTTATCTTTGCTTAAAAACATGACCATTGCATGTAATTGAACTTGAAGATTCTCATTTTAATGAGGTTTTGCATTACTCTGAACATGCCTTGCTCTTTTGATCTGTCTTTGTCCAGATTATTGCTGTCCCTGGAATAATGTTTCCATCACTTTTTTTTTTTTTTTTGCCTTTTTAACCACTATTCATCTTTGCTAAGAGCTGAGAGATCATATTCTCTTCTCCCCCTGCCAGTTCTGGTTAGGTACCCTTCTGTGTGACCCTTTGACTTCCCTCTGCCCTGGTGTTATTCTCAATGTGTTATAGTTATCTGACTTTATCACTGCCACTAAAAAGGTTGTTAAGGGCAGAGGCTTTGTTTATGCCTACCTGTCTCAGCGTAATACCTGACAGAAACTCACTTGGGTTATTTGTTCAATGGATGGGTGGAAACTCCACATTATTTAATATCTACCATTAATTTCCTAACATCAAAATATTACTCTCTTATTCTCTCCCTAGTTGTGTTTTTGATCAACCTTAATACCTTGTTATATTAAGCAAATTGCCTTAATAAGTTTTGATCATATTTTTTAAAAATTTTTAATACCATGTTAACATCTTTAGGGATTATTCAGAAAGCTTAATTTCTTGATGTATCGTTTGAATTTGCTGGAATAAATAGCAGTTTTGTTTGTTTGTTTTTTTGTGGTACTAGAGATTGAACTCAGAGCCTTGTGCATGCTAGGCAAGTACTGTACCACTGAGCGACATCCCAGCCCTGCATTTTTTCAAAACTGTTCAAAAACTTTTTTTCTTCTTATTTTATAAAAGGTCATACCAAGCCAAAGTTCGCCAAGGAGCATTAGCATGTTTTCTTTCTACAATAAAGTCAATAGAAAAGAAAGTTCTTTATGGCTACTGGTCAGCCTTTGTTCCTGACACACCAGAGCTTGGAAGCCCGCAGTCTCTGTCCTTAATTACACTTACCTTAAAAGATCCTTCTCCAAAGGTAAGAGCACTTACAAGGTAAGTTTTCTTTCTTTTTTTTCTTTTCTTGCAGGGGCATCTCTCCATGTAGTACAGGCTGGCCTTGAACTCACTTATGTAGCCCAGGCTGGCCTTGAATTCACAGTGACTCTCCTGCCTCAGCCTCCTGAGTGCTGGGATGATAGGTGTGTGCCACCACATCCAGCTTTGTAAGCTTTCTAATAGGAAGAGAAAGTTAACATGTCTCTGTTTCTTTTCTCCACCATATCTGATTGTATCTGAATTCTGTTCTTACTAATACTGACTCAGGTCCTAATTTGAGAACCACTGGACAGGCAGGAGAAAATAGGCTTCTGTAACGAACAGTGAGGGAGATTCTGTAGAGGCTGCTTCTGGCCCAGGGCTTGCTTAAGGCCTGGGCACACTGACTTGTAACTTTGATGTCTCCTTTGAGCTCCACTGAAGCTGCTGTGCGTCCTTTCCTATGAAAATATTGATTGCTGTTGTATTTGTAGTAGAAAAAAAAATCACAAATAGTTTCAAAAACTCAGTGGAGTATTATGGTCCACAGTGGACATAAAGGATGTATATAGTTTACAAGAATTCTCATGTTTTGTTAAGCTCAAGATATAAATAGTATATACAGTAGGATCCCAATAATCATTTTTTGGGGCTGGGGATGTAGCTCAGTGGCATAAGTGCCTGCCTGGCAAGCACAAGGTCCTGAGTTCCATTCCTGGTACCCAAAAAAAAAAAAAAAAACCAAAAAACCAATAATCGTTTTTCTTTCCATTTTTTATATATTTTTACAAAATTATGTATAATTGTATTTGCATATTTTAACGAGAAAAACTTATTTCTTAAAAAAGAAGAAGAAGTGGTTTGGCAGTCATAGATAGATCTACGTAAGATATGCTGTGGCTGATGCAGTAACTGCCTTGGCTTAGATACGTTCACATTACATTGAAACACCCCATTTCATCTTCTTAAATAGATAATAAAATTCCTAGATGCCCCCTCAAAAGCTTAAGGTAGCCTTAATTATACACAGAATAATTCTTGTGGTGTATTTCAAATATCCAGTATCCTAAATAGTTAAACCTGCAGAAATTTTGCATCTCAAGCTGTATCTATAGTGAATGAGAACCTGGTAGAAAAATGGAAAGTGAATGGCAGCAAATACATTAGTAATGAAGCCATCCTAGTAATTGGAAGGAAAACTATAAAGATTTTAGCCAGAGAGGAGCTGGCAGCAGTGCCCAAGGAGATGGTGCTATGGGGCAAGCAGCAGCACAAGTGAAACGGTCCCCACAGCTACCCAGCTAGAAGGAGGTAAGATGGGAACATCTCTGGTGAGAGTGAACTGAAATAATTTTCATGGTATTTATATGTTTAAAAAGCTTACATTTGATTTAAAATGCCATGAGAAATTTTAGTTTTTTCTTTTTTGATATCAAGAATCGAGCTCAGAACTTTGCACTTGCCAGGCAGACACTTGTGCCACTGAGCTAGATCCGCAGCCCAAAATTTTACATATTGAACAGTGGTCTTTTCTCTCTCTTTGATTAGATATCTTGCTATTTAAGTTGAGTGAATACAAGAAATATGAGGAAAAAGATATAATACTTCCTTCTGGAAATGTCCTAGAATCAATGCAAAAGCCCCATGAAAAGTCCTGGCGAAGCAGAAAAATGAGTCACTCTTCTTAAAGAGAAAAACAACAAAAAAGATGCAAGAAACTTAAAATTAGTTTAATCTAACAACAAGTGAAATAATTGTACTCAAGATTTTTATCAAATATTAGCTGGGAAGGATATAAATAAGTATGGTCATTACTGACCATGAAGCTTGAGCCATACTTCTGTAACTTTCATCATGTAATTAATTATGCACCAAGATACATACTAGAAGGTGAGAGGTTTTTATAAAGCCTTGTAGAAAATTACATGCAGAAATTAAAACAGCTTTTCTAACACCCTTTCTTCTAGTGAGAAGCAAACATAAGAAAAAGTGAGTTGCCTCTTTGAATCAGAGCACTAGGAATAAAGGTTACTGTCAGGAAACTGGAGCATGAAATACTGGTAGTTATTTGGAAAGGAGAAAAGAAATTTCTTTTAGGATTCAGTAATGTGGTGGTTTAATTTCCATTAAATTTGCATGTTGGAAATGTGCTTAAGCACATCTTCTATGTCCCAGGAGAGACAGAAAATTAATAAACATAACATGACTAATACAAGAATTTCTTTTACATGATTTCCTCAGGTGTTATATAGATATATAGGTATATCACCAACATCTAAGGAGCAAATAAAAGACAGACCTTTCTCTGGACACTTTGAGAATCCTGATTTTTACTTCTCTTTTAGATAATTTAAGGATAGAAACAAATCAAAATCTAGATGATATCATAACTAGAAAAGAAAATAAAACTTGGAATTTTTAACCATTACAAATGGTAGATAACCAAGCTTTCTTTTATAGAGTCATTGAGGAATGTCTGCAAATCTAGAGGCCTGGCTATCTTAGTTACTTTTTCTCAGATCTTCATTCCGTTTCTGTCCAGGGGGTGACAGGTCCCAAGAACGAGGTGCCCACAGGTGAAAAGTAAGTATGAGAAACAAGAAAAGCAAGAGAGGCAAAAGTCTGGGATCAGGGGGCATACAGCCCCTCAGACTGCAGCCCCAATTACCAACCTCAGTCACCTTTTATTAAGCGAGCATCAAGGGCGTAGCTAGTACAAATGGATGGATACCAAATGTTTTTAGCAAGGATAATTAAAGGATTATCCTTCTCCACATGTAATCCAACACACGCTTGTAATCCCAGCATTCAGGAGGCTGAGACAGGAGGATCGTAAACTCAAGGCTACTCCGGGTTGTATAATGAAGCCTTATCTTAAGAAACTCTGACAAATAATAAACAGATCACTGTGTCCTCTGCATTCTAATCAAAGGATGTCCTTCTCCACAACTTTTCTCCCATTGCTGAAACAAAATACCCAACACTCAGTTAAAGGGGGAAAGATTTATTGTAGCTCACAGTTTATATAGGTTTTGGTCCATAATGGGCTGGCTCCAAGGTGGGGTGGCATGGCAGAGGGGCATCACAGAAGAGAAACAGTTCATGACAGGCAGAATATGGCAGAGCAAGGAGGGATGACCACAGCTGCTTCTAACCTTTATATCTTATCCAGGCTACTTAGAATGAGTGGCATTCACACCCTTAAGCCTGGCCCCCTTGAGCCCAGCATTGTACCGTGAATCAATTCCAGCATCACATACTAGATCCAGCCATTTCTGAAAAAGCCCCACCTATGGTTGCATGAGGCTTTTAGAGGACATCTAGACACAAGCCATAACACAGCACAGTGTTAACATACCTTCCCTTAAAAGACTTTAGGAGCCAAAAAAACTTTACCCTAAACATGTGAGTAATCATTAGTACTTTTCTTAGAACTGAGAGTATCGTCAGTCAGCGGTAGATCTCTTACCTAATACGCGTGAGGTCATGCAATCCTCAGGAGCCAAGCAACAAGCACATGCATACATACAGTACTTGGACAAAGTCAAAGAAGATAATAGCCTGTTTGCCCGCATGGAAACTTCAGGAGTACCTCAGCAGGAACTTCTTTATCACCCCTCGAATAGTGTCCTATGATCATACACTCATAAAAATGGGGGGGGGGGATTAAGCTTGACTAGGCTACCTCAGCAAACATTTCTGCTACGTTCTTAAGTAAAAGAGAGAAAACAAGGCTTTTCTATTTTATTAGTTTTAGACAAGCTCTCATGTCCAAGGAAGTAAAATTACATGCTAGTAAAACGGAGCATACTGATGTTTATGAGACTGAAACATCTTTCATCCATCACTGTGAATATTCAGGCAGTAAAACTTCACAAAATAAGCCCTCTAGGGAGTTGTACCTATTATGATTTGCTAGCCAATCAGCAATTTCTGCTGAAAGTGCTGATTAGAACTGGTAAACAGGATATTAAATATTGATGTAAGAATAAATGAAGCAGAACTTGAGCAAGATTCGGTGTCATAAGTAACAATTTTGTAATAAAGACATTAAGCAGAGTTGAAAGGAAATTAATTTAGAACTATGAAAATTATAACTTGGTATAGTATCAAATTTATGTATAGATTTTATAGCTTATGGGAAAAAATACCCAATTTCAGTGTCATTTCTTTTGTTTCCATCTGTGATTGTCATGGATATTTTCTTCCGTAGGGTACCAAAGTTAATTAAATTAATTCCTTTTTCCTTTTTGAAAATCATTCTTCCCACAATCTGATCTTTAATTTTATTTGGTTTGTGAGCTGTTGGAATTGTAACTTTTAATTGCTTACTAAGGAAATGAAAGTTTAGCATAATATCTGTCTTTTTCAGTTCAGACCAAACATCCAATCAGCAGTTGGCCAACTGCAGTCTGTAGACCAAATGTAGCCCACTGTGCCCGCTTTTGTATGACTTGTGAGCAAAGAATGGTTTTGTAATTATCAAAAGAATAAATTGCATGGTGTGCGAGAACTATATGGAACTCAGATTCCATTATTGATGAGTGAAGCTGCATTGGAACTCAACCATATGTATCCCTTTACATGGGTCTGTATTCCCAGAACAGAGTTGAGTGGTCCTGACAGACTCTGTCCTGCAAGGTCTAAACCATAAAACATGTACTATTCGGCCCTGTACAGAAAATTTGCCAGCCCCGGATCTGAGTTCTTGGGTCAGCTGGCTTGTGTCAGTCACACTCTGCATGCATTACGTACTTTCCGAAGCATCATCCCCTTCCTAACTGAATGACTGCTTCATTCTGCAGACTCTTGCGGTGTACTATATACATTTATTTTCATACGAATACATCTATGGGTCCACTGCACAGAAGGCCCATAGAAATGATTTATTGCTTGGTTTCTTAAGAGATGATATAGTTGTAGCCTTTCTTTACTTTGAACCTTTTTTTACTTTGAACCCATACTCTTCATATTGAGTAAATATTTTGATTAGATTCTAGAATTGTAAAAATTCATTGGTTGCTTCGGAAAACTCTGACCAGGTGGTGTTTTATTGGCATTTTGGAGTGAGCTGACCAAAGGGGGTACAGTAGTTAGTATTCCATATTAATAGCCCTGCGTTTATTACCTATATTCCAATTTAGCTAAATTGACTTTATTTTCATTTCTTTTTTCATTTCTGATTTTTAATGCCAGAAAATCATCTGCATACCAACTGAAAGTGATCTTTTAACCTTATAAGGAAAACCTTAATACAGTGACACATTTCATTACATAGACAACAGTCCATGACAAAAGTATACTTTTTCCCCTTTTTATCATACAATTATATTTAATGGTATTCCTGTCATGTACTCTCACCACAAGGAGTGTTATGATCTTTTTAGTTGGAATTAGGTTTGAATAAACTAGGCCTCTCGTGCTTAGGATTTCAGGTTTTTGTGCTATGATGTACCTTAGACTTACTCCTTATGGTAAGAAAACCTAACAGCCATGTAAGATTTTTTTTTAAGGTATAGCGTACAAGTGGCCTAGTTCATGGCTGCTTTCAGAACCCAATAATCCCATTGCCTTTATTCTTCTAATTAAAGTGATTGGCTCTGAATACTTTGAAAACTATATATGGGAAAGAGGAAATCTGGCTCTTAATTTTTAACTAACTTGTGTGAATCATCCTGCAATTTCAGACACGAGCCTGTGCTCTGCAAGTTTTATCTGCCATATTAGAAGGTTCAAAGCAATTTCTTTCCGTTGCTGAAGACACCAGTGACCACAAAAGGGCTTTTATCCCCTTCTCCGTAATGATCGCTTCCAGCATTAGAGAGTTGCACAGATGTCTTCTGTTAGCATTGGTGGCAGAGTCATCCTCACAGACCCTTACCCAGATAATTAAGGTAAATATTCCAAGGTACATGTGATTTCTGAGAGGGCTCTCTGTTTGAATTTTGTATAATATTTTACATAGCCTGAAAGTAACTTGACTTAAAACTATAAATAATAAGTTTACTAAAGATAAACTGTTTGGAAATCCGTACCCACTTGTCTGATCTAACCTATAATTTCTATATGTCCAAATAAATGTTGCGTCTTTATTTTACTAAAAATGCTTCTTTATTTTTAATGTTGAGTTATACCAATGTATTTTTAAAAGAGTTGTTATTTTTCCGAAGCTAGAAAAGGACTGATTTTCATTAAGTGTAAAGACCTTTTAAATTAAGTGCTATAAAATTTTGTTTCTATGATGCAGCTCAGTCAGACCTGTTGGTAAGCTGTTTTTGTGTATGTGTGTGACTTACAGTGCCTTGCAAATTTAGTATCAAATGCGCCTTATAACCGTCTGAAGCTCAGCCTGCTGACCAGAGTCTGGAATCAGATAAAGCCTTATATCCGCCACAAAGGTTGGTAGTGTTTTTTAAATGAACTGCTTTTTTACATCCATCAAATATAGGTTGTTAATAAATTTTAGATCTTTCTAAAAGGGGAAAGGGATCAAGCGATGGAGGGAGGGGAAGGATAGGGGATGAAAAAAAGAGATTTGAATGTGCTAAGTAAATGTACCAACTCCACACAAGAAATGTAAACATTATTTACTGCAAACACATACCCCGCCCCCAAAAAAAGGAAGGAGATCAAGAGATGGGGGCGGGGGAAGGGAGGAAAGCGAAAGGGAATGAAAAAAGGAATTGAGATGTACCAACTTCCCATAAGGAATATAAATGTGTACTACACACATGTGCTAATAAACTAAAATAAAAAAATTTTTTAAAGGATTCAGAACGCAAAAAGGAATTGAGATGTACCAACTTCCCATAAGGAATATAAATGTGTACTACACACATGTGCTAATAAACTAAAATAAAAAAATTTTTTAAAGGATTCAGAACATTTTATATGTCTAAGAGAGTCTCTATTTATTCTCTTCAGTTTTTAAGAGTACCGGCTGGCCAGGGGTGGTGGCACACACCTGTAATCCCAGCACCCTGGGATTCTGAGGCAGGAGGATCACAAATTCAAGGCCAGCCCAGGCTAAACTGAAACTGTCTTTCAAAAAGTAAAAAGGATGAGGCTGTAGCTCGTAGGCAGAGCACCCCAGGGTTCTATCCTCAGTACAGCTACAACAACAAAGTACAAACTTGCTGGAATCCCATTTTTGATCCATCAAATCCCAATGGAAAAAAATGAGCTGGAGAATGAACTGCAAAGTTTAATGCCGCTCTGTTATGTACATGTACCAGTTCCCCTCGATGTAATCATTATGAACTGCAAACAGGTACTGAAAAATATTTAATGCTGCTTCAGTGCTTCACAGCAGTGACCAGAGTGTCTCTTTAGAGGTAGGAATAAGCCAAGTACACGTGGCCAACTCAGATGTATTATAATTATTATCTTTAGGCATAGGTAGAAGATGGATGGATGGGTGGATGGATTGAAAGACAGATGTCATCCTCTTTTGGAGAGGGAAAACTATAATATAAAACCTAATTTCTTTAACATTATTTCCTCTGAAATTCAGATAAATCTCAAAACTTCAAATCCTTACTAACTACAAAATCTTATTTTTTTGTTATTTCCTCTCTTGCTCCCACATGTAATATCTATGTGCTATAAACACATGCCTTTAGCATTTTTTGTTCTTCTGTTTAAAGCGTTTAGGTCAGGCCACATTCTGATCAGCTAAGTTTTTGTTCAGAATTGTAGGAGACATGAATGTTTCCATCACTTGAGCAGGAGGACGCTGGACCTGAGTCAGTCTGAGGGTCTGCAGCCCACTCCTGTCACTGCCATCTCATAGCCATGGCCCTTCTGCACCCTAATTTTCTCCTAATAGGAAGAACTGTGTCTATTCCGTGGATGTTTATGAGGCTTAAATGATATAATGATGTGCAAACTAAGTCCCGCCCACTCCTTATGCAGGTATAGAAAACAGGACTCAGAAACACAAGTCCTACCTTTACATCTCTCACCATATTAGCGGCAAAAATAATATTAAACAACCCAGGTCTCCAGCTCCATCCTCTGCTGATCCTGCCGCACCTGCTTTTCTTCATTTGTATGTTCAACTGAGTGGAATGCTCTTTCAAGTATCTGACTTTATTCTCTAGTCACCTTTTCTTATTAAAATGTTCAAACCCTGAAACACTTAGATATAAATCTAACAAAGTATATATAAGACCGATATGAAGACTATAAAACTGTGATTAAAGAAATCAAGAACCAAATAAATGGAAAGATAATCTATGTTTGTAGATAGGAAGACTCGGTATTGTCAAAATGTCAGTTCTTCCCAACTATGGGTTCAGTGAAGTCCCAGTCAGAAATCCCGTCAGATTATTTTATGGGTATCAACAAACTGATTTCAATGTTTCGACAGAGAAGCAAAAGACCTACAGTGGCCAACACAATACTGATAAAGAAGAATGTGATTAAAGGACTGGTGCTACCCAACTTCAAGACCTACTATAAAACTACAGTAATCAAACCATCTTGGAATAGCCATATATCCACATGCAAAAAAAAAAGTTGGAGCTTTTCTCCTACACTTTTGAAAAAATCTTGAGTTCATTGAAGGTTCATGCATTACATTTAATTATTATGTCCCTTTAGAGTTTGTAATCAGGTGTCTTCCCCCGTGTTTTGTGGGGTGGGGGGGGTCTGTGGATGTATAATGTTAGTCTGGGAACTGAATCCAGAGGTGCCATACCACCAAGTTGTACCCCCAGTCCTTTTTATTTTGAGACAGGTCTCACTAAGTTGCCCAGGCAGTCTTGAACTTGGGATCCTCCTGCTTCAGCCTCCTGAGTACCTGTGTTTTCTTTTATATATATATTACTGATTTTTTAGAAGTCTTCAAGTCCATTGTCTTACAGAATTTCCAGTGTTTTATTTTCTTGTTTCTGTATGATTTACCTCATTTATTTCCTGTGGACTAGAAATTCAATAATTTCTAATTGCCTACAGAGATAACTATGATACTTATAATAGTGGTTCCCATTTTCTTGGTCTTTTTGAGACAGGGTCTCACCATGCAGTTCAGGCTGGTCTTAAACTCACTTTGTAGCCCAGTTTGGCCTCGAACTCACAATGATCCTTCTGCCTCAGCCTCCCGAGTGCTGGGATTACAGGCGTGCGCCACCACACCCAGCTAGTGGTTCCCATGTGGATAAGGTCTCTTTCTTTTCACAGACGTTAATGTTCGTGTGTCAAGTCTCACACTCTTGGGAGCTATCGTGTCCACTCATGCACCTTTACCTGAAGTCCAGCTTCTTCTCCAACAGCCCTGTTCTTCTGGGCTCAGCAATAGCAGTTCAGCAACTCCTCACATTAGCACTCCTGACTGGTGGAAGAAAGCCCCAGCGGGACCCTCTCTGGAAGAAGGAGCACTAAGCTCGCCCAAGGGGACCTCAGAGCCCTGCTGGCTCATCCAACTTTGTATTTCCATTCTCGTGCTGCCCAAGGAGGATTCCTGCTCAGGCAGCGACACTGGCTCTGTGGCAGGCAGCACCTACGAGCCCTCCCCCATGCGACTGGAGGCCTTGCAGGTAGGTGTCTGCGTTTCCCATTCTGAATGGCAAAAGGATTCCTTCTTCACAGGGTGACCGTGCGGAGTGGGTACGTGGAAGGCTTGAGAAACCAAGCCACCTGTCAGTAACATTAGCAGTATGGGGGTTTTTGTTTTGTTTGGAGGGTAAGGACTCCTGGGTTATAAAATGCCAGATTCATTCCCTTTGTTCTTTTGTTGCAAACTATTGTAATCATCTCTGGTCTTCTGTTGACAGTTGGGTATAATTGCACAGTAATTGGGAAAGGAATTACAGTTTATCTTTGATTTCTGCAGTTTGTTTAGTTCTTGATAAACTTCTGTCTGGTCCTGTATCTGCTTAATACAGATAAAATATCTGCTACTTCAGAAGAAAACAATTCTAGATTAAAAAAAAAAAATACTAGCTTTTTCTATACTCAGATATGGTCTAAGCGTAGGCCCGATCCTGCAGACTGCTGCTGATTATCTGGATAACATTAAACACTTCCTTTCACTTTGTCAGCCTTAGTTTCTTCCTCTGTGAGTTCAAATATTGCCTACCTCAAGGAGTTGTTCTAAGAGTTAAGTCAGATGATAGTGAAACACAATAGCAAATTATAATGCCATAAAATTATGATACAATTAATTGATGGTCATAAAGCTTATGGTAGTTTTTCATTTAATTCAACATCAGAGTTCATCCTTTGTTTAGTGGGCATGATTTTTGAAGTATTAGAACCCTTTTCTGTATTGCAGCCTTGTTTTCAGATCTTGGGATTAATTCCCTGCTCTCTTTGTAGGTATTGGCTCACCTGGCCAGGGGCTATTTTTCAATGGCTCAGGTCTACTTGATGGAGCTTGGTGAGGTGATTTGCAAGTGCATGGGCGAAGCAGATCCATCCATTCAGCTTCACGGAGCAAAGGTAATTTCCTTAAAAGCCACATGCATTTTTCTTCTGAGATTTCTTAAACAGATTTCAGGTAAGGAAGACATACATTCGTCTGTTGTCAGTTCTTACCTATAAACCTGAAGAACTGATTTAGTAATAAATTATCAACATAGCTGTTGGTTTTACTCCTTGAAAGAGTGTCTCTGTTATAGGAGTTAATGAGAAAAGAAGAAAAATCAGCTAGACATTGTTCTTCCCCTTGATTTGAGCTGATCTCCAAACTGAAGTGAACTTGTTTGGAACCTCCATAGTTCTAATGCTCTGCTTTGATAGTTATTTCTTTTATCTTGGCAGCTTCTGGAAGAACTAGGTATAGGCTTAATACAGCAGTATAAGCCAGATTCTGCCATTCCGCCTGAGCAGAGAGTACCAGTCTTCTTGGTAAGTCCATACCCATTTGTAGTTTTCTCTGCTTAGTGCTTCAGTTTGTTTTATTTTCAGGCCTAGGTATAAAGTGGGGTAGATGGTAATGGTTTCTTCCAGTGTGAAAAGTTATAGTTTACAATCTAGCATGATGTGAAATAGCATGAATAGATTTTGTTTGCAATTCAGTATATAGTAGGACTATGTATCAGACAACCAGCAATGGCAAAAACAGCAGTTCTTTTGCATAGAACCTATCTTGGTTATTCAGCCTGCCAAAGAAGGCAGAATGAGCCAGGGATTTTATGTTAGAAGGCATGAGATCAAATCTGAAGAATAACACTTAATAGGTCTGCAGTTATGAGCGTAGTCTCATTTTAAAGAGAAATAAAAAATCCTTAAATCATAAGGCTATAGAAAAATTGAATGAAATGTAAGGATGCTGGTACACACTAGGTGCTCAGTGAATGTTAATTCCTATCACCCCTTCAACGCTCCCCTCATGATTCCTTTTCAGTTCCTGTGATCTCATCTTGCTTCTGTTATCCCAGCTGTGCCAGTTCTTTTTTTTTTTTTTTTTTTTTTTTTTTTTTTTTTTTTAAAAAGGGCATTTTGTCCCCCCAAAAAAAAAAAAAAAAAAGCTTCTACTCACTGCCAAAAGGAAAAGCAAAAGCAGAATCAACTCTGTTGGTGGTGCTTCCTCCTCCTCCCCTCCTCATCCTATTTTTTTCCCTTCACAATTTCTATTATTTGTCAGCCAGTTAAAAATGTCTGATCCTCATCCCTTCCTGAGGCTGCCACTGCAACTTTCATGTAGCCATTCACAGGGAGACAAGCTGGGCTTTGTGATCACTAGGAACTGGGTTGGAATCCAAACTTCTTCCCTTACTAAACACGGGCTGTGGACAGGAATCTTAACTGTTCACACTCAGGTATTGTTTCAACTCTAGAGAAAACAAAAACTTTCCATAGTATTTGTTTTGTTGCTGAGTAGTAAATTAACCCTAAATAGATAGCAGCTTAAAATAGTACACCTTTATCCTCTCATGGTTTTGGTGGTCAGGAATTGGCGTGGTTTGTTGAAGGGTTGTGAGCTCTTACAAGGTAGCTCATTCGTGTACCTACCCAGAAAGTGCACTCAGGTCCTCGCCATGGGGACCTCTCCACAGAGCTCTTGAGTATTCTTTTGATGTGACAGGCAGCTTCTCTCCCAGCAAGCTTCTCTCTTTTTTTCTCAAGAAAAAGAGCGAGACGGAAGCTATAATGTCTTTTATGACTTAGAGGTTTCATGCTGTCATTGCTACAGCATCCTATTGGTTACACAGGTCAGCCCTACTCAGTGTGTGAGGGGACTGCACAGAAGTGTAAATATTAATAAGTGAGAATAATTGTGGGCTCCCCTGGAAGCAGCAATCACACCTCCTATCCGCATTCTTTAGGACTGGGGTGGAGAGAGACTAGACTAGGCTTTTAGGTATTTTGTTCCGCAAACACACAGCCAAACCCAGGACAAAGTCCATGGGACACACTGAAGACTCCAACCCAACAGATGGATTTGCAGATGAATGTTAAATCCTAGGTCTTTTATAAAGCATGGGAGAACAAGTGTTCGGATGCCTACCTGAGGGGTTTTGAAGTGAGATAATTCTTATGTTTTTTTTAAAAAAGGCTGCCCCACAATTTAAGAGTGTCCGCAGAGTACCAGTCCCTGAAATAGGAATTTTGAGTAAAGTTTACATTTTGTTTTCATACCCTCTGTTTCAGGTGGTGATGTTCTGGACTATGATGCTGAATGGTCCTCTGCCTCGAGCCCTGCAGAATTCAGAGCACCCGACGCTGCAGGCCAGCGCCTGTGATGCCCTGTCCGCCATCTTGCCGGAAGCCTTCAGCAGCCTTCCGGTAACTCCAGCTGTGTTTCCTCCCCTTCAAACCATGCCCGGAGTGTCAGAGTTCAAGTTTGATGCTTTTTAATTTTGAACCATTTTTGACACTTGCTCTGAGGGAAAAGAGGTTCTCTTGCTTGTGTTTGGGATGGGGACAGTGGGCAACAGCAAATGGGAAAACTTAATCACCTGTCAAGAAAGCTATTTCTCCCTGTGCTTTAGAAGGTAGCTAGAAGAAGCAAGTAGCTTTGAAGACAGAAAATTATAAACACCTGGGTCTAAGCTCTAGCTCTTCCACTTTCTATATCTTTGATTATTTTAACTTCTCTGAAGCTTATATTATCATCTTAAGATGGGAGTCATGTGAGAAATAAGGTAGAGTATGTCCAAATACTTAGGTTTGGTTTCCTAATGTGTATGGTAATTATTATAGTATTTGAGGGCTGCTGTAATAAAATACCATAACTGAATGACTTTTAAACAACAGAAATTTCTTACGGTTCTGAGATTAGTACCCACAGATTTGGTAGCTAGTAAGGGCTTACTCACTGATTCGTAGATGGTGCCTTCTAGTTCACATGGTAAAAGGGGCAAAGCCACTCTCTGGGGAACTTACTTATGAGGACACTAATCCCACTGCTGAGGGCTCTGCCCGAAGGCCCCACCTCCTAATACCATCAAATCTTAGTCAGCATTCCTGGCACTGGAACAGAATTCTGGCCCCCACAACTTTAAGAAGAGATTTATTTCAGCTCATGGTTTAGCAGTTTCTGTCCGTGGTTGTTGGGCTCCAAGGCAGAAACAGCATGGTAGAAGGAACTGGTAGGAAAGTGCTCACCCCCTGGCAGCCAGGAAGCAGAGAGAGAAGGCCAGGCTCCGCCCCCAGTGACCTCCCTCTCCTCACCTCTAACCAGGCCCCGCCTCCTAGCATCCCGTTCAGCCATGGAGTCATCAGTGGATGAATCCACTGGTGAGTGGGGTGCGCCATGACCCAACAACCCTCCAAAAGCCCCACCTCTGAGTATTTGTGACTTCCGGGGGACATTCTAGGTGTAAACCCTAATTTACCACCTTTTGGGTCAGGAGTGCCAGAGGAGGGGCCATGAACCACAGCACCGTACAGACTGCTCCTTTCTTGTAATCCTCAATGACATTTGCATCTGTTCTTATTTATGTCCGTTAGCCTCCATAAAGAAAGCAGTTTTAGTAAAGCAGTGGCCTAATTTACACAGCTGAAAGGTTAAATGTGATGAGATGCTGTGTGTGCCTTGCACAAACTGGATTCTCAGTCACTGGATCTAAATTGAACCCACACTTTGCCAGCGTAGCCTCGGGGTCACTGTGGTCTTCAGTCCTGACTGTGGGACGCAGACAGATTTATTTCAGTCACTCGAGGAAGGCCTCGGCTCGCCGTCGTTTCCTTCTCAGCTTTCTCTGTGTCGCCCTCTCCTTGCAGAATGACCGGCAGATTCTGTGCATCACAATGCTCCTTGGGCTGAACGACAGCAAGAACCGTTTAGTGAAAGCTTCGACCTCACGGGCGCTTGGAGTCTACGTGCTTTTTCCTTGTCTCAGACAGGTCAGAGTGATCGTGTTTAGCTCTTCTATATCTCTTCACGGTGTCTTGTGGACGTAGAGTTCCTGAGTTCATGAAAGAATTTAACTTGCTTTGTGACCTGGTTCCCTTAATGGCTACATAAATGTGATAATACCCTTAGTTCATTTATTTTTAATTACTTATCACACTGCCAGAAAATGCTTAACTTAATGAATGAATACAAATGAAAAGGAACGTTACCATGCAATAATAATAATCTGGAAAGCAGATAAGGTTTTACTAAAGAAGTGAAATTCTCCTTTACTCTTATTTGTAGCATTCATCTCACTGAGAGAAATGAACGTAATGTGTTTTAGAATGCATTCATTGTCAGAACATCGTTTCCCAAAGGTAGAAATCAACCCAAGCACAGAACACATAGATAACTGTCACAGGCCGGGTTATAGGATGTTCACAAAGAGCAAAATCCATAGGCTCCTCTCACATCCACGACAGAGACCTAATCATGGGGGAGTTTCCCTTGGGATTGCATGGAGTGTCCATATTGTAATAGATAAGTACAGTATGCTGATTGAATAAATTTTGATTTCCAAATTGAGATTTATGGTAAAGGCTGATAGCTCTACATGAAAATAAACTTGAGAATTTTAAAGGCAGCAGTGTGAACTCCTAAAGTAATGTAGCTTTGGGTTTATCTTACAGGACATCATATTTGTTGCAGACACAGCAAATGCAGTATTGATGTCACTTCAAGACAAGTCTCTGAATGTCCGTGCCAAAGCAGCTTGGTCCCTGGGCAACCTGACAGACACTCTGATTGTCAACATGTAGGTGACTACGCGTGTTTTCCTTGGGTAACTAACCGGGTGAAGTCTTGAGAGGGTATTTTCACCCCTTCATAATGTAGTCAACCTTCCTGGTTTATTTTATTTTATTTTTTTATTTATTTTTTTATTTTTTGTCTTTTTAAGACAGGGTCTTGCTGTGTAGTTCAGGCTGGCTTTGTGCTCACTTAGTAGCCCAGGCTGATCTCGAACTTGGCAACGATCCACCTGCCTCAGCCTCCTGAATGATGGGATTACAGGCATGCACCACCATGCCCGGCTTGGTTTCTTTTATATCTCTTTTAAGTAATATGATTAATAACTTGTTCCTTTTTTTTTTTTTTTTTTTATAAAATGTGGATTAGACTTCACACTGACCTACATCCCCAGCCTTTTTAATTTTTTATTTTGAGACAGGGTCTGAGTTGTCCAGATTAGGCTGAAACTTACGCTCCTCCTGCCTCAGCCTCCCAGAGTACAGGAATTACAGGCATGTACCACCACACCTACCTTAATAACTTGTTCTTAACATAAATGAGGAGTATATTAAGATATATGTATAAAAATACCATATGCTATGTGTAATGTACCCAACCCATTTTATAGAAATTACAGAGTAGAAATCCAAAACCATAACAGTTAACCTATTTTTAAAATACAGTTGTTTCCATTGTTTTTAAGTAATATATTCACTAGTTTAAAAAAATTCAAGCAGTACTCAGGGGTATTAGTATAAAACTGGTCTCCTGCCCTAACACTCCCGTTCCCCTCCCCAGAGATACCCATTGTTATCAGACATGTGTCTTCTTTCTGTCACTTAATTTCATATAAGGGTCATGTGTAAGTAACATGTGTAAGCCTTCTCTTTTACTGTCTTTTAATAAATCCTTGTTTAGGGGCTGGGGATTTAGCTTAGCGGCACAGCGCCTGCCTGGCAAGTGCAAGGTCATGAGTTCGATTCCCGGTACCGGAAAAAATAAATAAATAAATAAATAGATCCTTGTTTATTATGATATGGTTGCCACTGCATCATGAGTCCTTAACCATTCCTGAACATTTATGTTAAGCTTTAGGCTTATAGGGTTCTTTTTTTTTTTTTTTTTTTTTTTTTTTTTTTTT